ATGGACTAAGTTTTCCCCAAATCCCATATCTCATAACTCCTCTTGTTGGTGAAAGTTTTAAGAAAACCTTTTCTCCAACTTGGCATTCTAATTACACCTTTGATTATTAGCATAACTTTTTTGCCTACTTTGAGATATTCAAAGATGTTCTTTAATTAGTTGTATCTTCTCTACAATCTATTGTATAAGTTCTAGTCCTAACACTCTCCTTTCTCCCACATTATCCAAACATACTGGGGACTTACACTTTCTGCCATACAAAGCCTTATAAGGTGCCATCTGAATACTTGCTTGATAGCTATTATTGTAGAAAAACTCAACTAAGGGCAAATGTTTATCCCAAGCATCTTTCAAATCCAAAACACAAGCTTTCAACATATCTTCCAAGATTTGAATAGTTTTTTCCGATTATCCATTTGTCTATGGATGGTAAGCAGTACTAAAATTCAACCTAGTGCCTAGTGCCTTATGTAAACCTTTCTAACACTGCTTCACAAATCAGGAATCTCTATTAGAAATTATAGACACAAGTACCTGATGTAATCTAACAATCTCCTGCACATACAACCTTGCTAATATTTCTAATGAAAAATCCTTCCTCATTGCTAAAAAGTGGGATGATTTAGTTAGCTTGTCAACAATTACCTGAATTGAATTATATCCCCTAGCAATACTAGGCAAACTACATACAAAATCCATAGTAATGTGCTCCCACTTCCATTTAGGAATATGAAGTGATTGCAAAGGATTTGCTGGCCTCTAATGCTTTGCCTTCATCTGTTGATAAATTAAGCACTAAGATACAAAAACTACAAATGCCCTTTTCAAGTTATTCCACCAAAAAATCCCTTTTAAGTCTTTATACATCATAATGTCTCCAAGGTGTACTATATACCCAGAGTAGTGTGCTTCCTCTAAAATATCTTTCTTTAACTCAACATCTTTTGGAACACAAAATCTATTCCTTAATCTTATAGAGCCATATTCATGAATCTTAAACTTCTTCCATTATGGATGTTCAAACTCCACTTTTTACTTAATCTTCCATGAGAACAAGTCATTTTGTTGAATGGCTTTAATTCTTTCTATCAAAGTAGGTTGGACAACTAAGGTTGCCAACTAAACACCAAAACCAAGCTCTCTAATCTCCACTCGCATTCTTTCCAAGTCTCTCAAAATTTGCATATTTGAAATGACTAAAGTGGCCAACTTCCCATGGTCCTTTATACTCAATGCATCATCCACTACATTAGCCTTGCCTAGATGATAACTGATAGTTAAATCATAATTCTTCAACAACTCCAACCATCTCCTTTGCCTTATATTCAATTCCTTCGGTGTGAAGATATACTTCAAGCTTTTATAATCAATGAATTTCTCACATTGCTCACCATAAAGGTAATGCCTCCAGATCTTTAGAGCAAATAAGCTTTAAATCATGTGTTTGGTAGTTTTTCTCATAAGGCTTCAACTATCTAGAGGTATAAGCAACAACCTTATCATGTTGCATTAATACACAATCCAACCTTCTCTTTAAAGCATCACTATAAATAATAAACCCACCACTATCATTAGGAATGTTCAAGATTGAAGTTGAAACTAATCGATTCTTTAGCTTGTGAAAACTTTGCTCACAACCATCAATCCATTCAAATTTCACTCTTTTTTGAGTTAATAGAGTTAAAGACACTGCTATATGTGAAAAGACTTCTACAAATCTCCTGTAATACCTAGCTAAACCTAAAAAGCTATGAACCTTAGTAACATTAGTTGGTTTACTCCACTCCACTACTGCCTTCACTTTATTTGGATCCACAAAGACTCTATCCTTAGCACATGTCCCAAGAATGCCACACTATTCAACCAAAACTCACCCTTTTAAATTTTGCATTAAGCTTCTCTTCCCTCAAAACTTTTAGCACCAACTACAAATGCTCCTTATGCTTAGCTATGCTTTTAAAGTACACCAAAATATCATCACTAAACACTACCACAAATTTATCTAGATACAACTTGAACACCCTATTCATGATATCCATAAATGCCACAGGTGCATTAGTCAACCTGAATGGCATTATAAGAAACTCATGATGACCATATTAAGTTCTAAAATTAGATTTGGGGACATCTTCTCTCTTAGTCTTCAACTTGTGATACCGGATCTTAAATCAATCTTGGAGAAAACCTATGCCCTTTTCAACTGATCAAATAGATCATCAATCCTAGGCAAAGGATATTTATTTCCAATTGTCACCTTATTTAACTCCCTATAATCAATATAAAGCCTTCTACTCCTATATTTCATTTTCACAAATAGTACAGGAGCACCCTAAGGCAACACACTAGGCCTAATATAGCCCTTGTCCAACAATTCCTATAATTGCTTCTTTAGCTCTTTTAATGTAATTAGCACCATTTTGTACAAAGCCTTAGAAATTGGAGCAGTGCTTGGTAGAAAATCAATGGAAAACTCCACTTCTCTATTAGGAGGTAAACTAGGTAAATCATTTGGAAAAACATTTGGATATTCTCTTACAACATTAATATCATCAAGTTGTAATTTACTAGATTAAGTATCCACAATGGTGGCTAGATAACCTTTACAACCTTTTCTTAACATTTTTTATCTTGCAAAGCAAAAATAATTACTAAAGTAAACTTCCCTCTACTAGCCAAAAATTAAATTCTTACTAACCAAGAATCCAAAAATCTACCCTATTCCCATGACAACCCAAATTAGCAAAATACTTAGCAAGCCAATCCATACCCAAAATAACATCAAAATCATGCATATCTAAAATGATCAAATCAACAAAAAGTTGTTTTCTATCAACATGCACCACACAAGACTTGAAAATACAATCAATCATTATCTTACCCCCATCAAGATTGTCAACACATAGTGCATATTCCATATGAGTACTAGGCATACCATGTTTCATTGCAAAGCTAGTGGATACAAAGGAGTGAGAAGCACCAATATCAAACAACATATAAGTGTATATGATGAAACAAGAAGTGTACCTATCACTACCTTATTAGAGGCTTGAGCATCTTACTCAATCAAAGTAAACACATAACCCTAATCAATAGGTTTCTAATGACTTCCTCTGTTTGGTCCTGAAACAAACACTCGCTGACTAGCCATAAGTTGTGTCACTTGAGTAACTTTAGTATTTTGCCTTACTCAAGAAAAATCAACTACCTTATGTCTTTTCTGCCCACAATTAAAACATGCACCTCCTAAATTCTTGGTATAAAGACAATCTACAACACTATGTCCAATTTGCCCGCTATTAAAGCATACACCATTAGGAGTCTTATTACGAGGTCAATCAATAGCTTGATGTCCCATTTGTTCACAAGCTTAGCAAACACCTATCAATAGCCTATAGTTGTGAGCCTCATAAGGTCCTTGACATTTCCAACACCTAAGATTCCCCTTTGTTGATTCCTGACCCATGAATAAGTAGAAAATCCAATGTTTTGCCTCTTATTCTACCTATAACCCAAACCTCCAAATTTGTTCTTGTTGTACCTATGATTTTGATGATTACAAAACACATTTGAGTGACTAATTGGTTTATTTAAATGTGTAGTTAAGTTACTAAAAGATTGCAAGTAAACTTGGATTGCACTAAAAATAGACCAAAAGGATTCAAAGTGTGCAGAGAGTCGGCTCTTGAAAGCTGCAGCCAGCTCTGGTGAAATGGAAGTGCAAAGAGCTGGCTCTGGTGAAATGGAAGTGCAAAGAGCCGGCTCTGGAAGCTGCAGCCGGTTCTACAGGCAAAAATTTGAAGACCGTTGCTTGGCGTGCACAGAGAAAAGACGCAACGCTGGCTCCAACTTTATAGCCGACTGTGAGGGTGCATTTAATGCACAACGGTCGAGTCATTTGAAGATTATTTAATGTATTTAGGTGCATTTAATGCACAACGGTCGAGTCATTTGAAGATTATTTAATGTATTTAAAGTTGGAGTTGCAAAGCTTGCTCAAAGTTTTGCAATCGGCTCTCGAGAAAAACAGAATGGTCTGCAAACTCGAATAGCCGGCTCTGGAAGTGTAAGCCAGCTCTGCAGAGCCGACTCTAGAATGTTACGCCGGCTCTCCTAACAATCCTGCAACTCGAGTTTTGTGTCCTGCAGAGCATTTAATGACCCCCAACGGCTAGAAACGGCTATTTTCAAGCAAGGGGCCATAAATATGGTTGGTAACAGATGTGAAGAGGTTTAGAGAACATTGCATTGAATATCTTTACCTACCTACTTGAGCTTTAACTTGAGTTTTTGATCTTTGAGTGATCATTGCTTGTAATCCTCTTCTTGTGCTTTTAGTGAGTGATCTTGGGG